TACCATTTCCCCTCACTTGGCCTTGGTGTGCAATTACGTTTCACGTGGCCCAAATGTGGTTCTGTTTTACTAGCGGTGGAAATACCGATTCTATATGAGTAGTGTACACATGTCAGACTGAAACCAGAACGGCATCTGAAGAAGGAAATGGGAGTTAGGCATCTCTGTAGTGTCCCAAATGCGATGTCAACTAGTCAAGTTGTCTGTTTCAATTCGACATTTCATTTTTGGAGATTAAGAATTACAGCTAAAATATAGGGTCATTCATAATTGATACGTGATGTAAACAAAAAATTATACACGAAAAGAAATCTGGAATGATTACCACTAATATTTCGAAATACGTTTATTCAAAACAGTTGTCGTGTTTGTAAAACGTGACGTGCTTGAGAGCTGCATATGCCATCGTAGCAATTCGAGAAAAGTCACTGAAGACGCAGTCATTCAATTCTACAGAAATATCGAAGGAGCAAGGGTTGGATCCAAGTCCCATGTGGACGCTAATTCAACTGGTCCTTCCGTCTCTTCTTAGATAGGCCTAGTTTACGTCCTCCAACAGGATCGAAACACGGTGTTTGTCACAGTAAATGTTCAAGGGGAGTCCTCCCTATATTGACACGTATTTATGAGTGACTATAGACGGGGTCTGGATTGATGACCAGATTTAATGACCACTTTATACACACCACTCGGAACTACAAGTGGTATAGCGCTATCGCTAATCTACACACTATACAAATCGTTAAGACACGCTAAATCTTCTCAGTCTTTACTAGTCGTATTCTGGCAACGGATTTATAAATCTCACTTTTACTGCAGCACACGTGAAGTCTCCTTTTCACAGCATAATTCCTGTCCTGCCATCTCTTCTCAATCATCTTCGACTGTAGTCTCAAGGGACACCCTCAATTCTAATTCTAGCCAGCCAAAGTCAGAGTTACTTTACGACTGTCGGTATGCCATAAATCACTTCGTCTTGGCGACAAGCCCTTTCATACTCATAAAAAAGTAATTATTTTCTAACAGAACACTTGCAGTTATAGTCCTTATGTAACATCCACTCTGACGATAGGATGGTTCTGCATTTTACAACTGGTGCTGGTCCTCGTCAGCGCAGTCATTCTCAGGTCCGAGTCTCGCGGGACTCATTACCACATTTTACTGTCTCAGGTTCGAGACTCCCCCAACCTTGAAGGCCTGGTCCCCGTATTTATATCCGCCAGGAACAGGGTGGCCCGGTTATACCCCCGGGCACTGGGTTTCCTTTTCGTCGCATCCTACGCCTAGTAGGTCTACGGTGGAGTATCCGACCGCGTCTCCACACGGGAAGCTCAACTGCCACTCTCAAAGTCAAAGTCACATTGCGACTGACGGTCAGTCAGTAAGTAAGTCTTGATTTCGAGCCCAATCTGTGGCTCATGACCAGATATTTATTACAGTTTGACATTTACAGTCTTGTTTTTTGGGGGTGCCCCCTCTGATGAGAGGACAAATCTGTCTTTTTATATGCTGCTGGTCCTTGCCAGCGCGGTCTTTCTCGGGCCCGAGTCCCTTGGGACTCGCGACCATATTTTACTGTCTCAGATTTGAGACTTCCCTTTACGTCGCCACCTACGGCTCGCAGGGTCACGGTGGTGGTATTCGACCCCGCCTCCACACGGGTTACTGCCACTTTCTAATTGTATCTGGCCTTTAATCCTCGTTAAATAGCCTCGGATCAGCCCCAACAGAAAACACCGTTTCCTAAAAATTCCTCTATTGTTACAGAGATGTGTTTACCTCGCCGTTGCATAAAAACGGAAGTTCTTCGATTGTTGCTTGCGTATTCGTTGCCACGGGGATATGTTTACCAAGCCGTTGCCCAGCAATGTACGTCTCCTCTGGCCCAAATATTCCGGCTTTCAGGCGTCATGTCACAATATGACTGTTCCTTCCAGATTTCCTGTCACTGTATAATTTCTTATAATATATCTCCTGTTTCTAAACATACTCTTGTCCGCCATATACAAGTCTTTTCGCATTCTATCATTTTTTAAAGAAATGCAATTCAGTTTGAGCTTCTGTGAAATGTTGCAGGAATTTGAGTGGTGTTATATCGACTAAAGTACGCCTCCAACGCCATGTTTACTCGAAATCCGCTTACTGTTTCGGACAAACACAAACTTCGCTATGTACGAAGAAAGTCGTCTTCTGGGATGTGGCGCCGTGTGGAAATTGTGTTAACTGACGTTTCGGAGGAACGTATCGCCTCCATCTTCAGGGTAGAAGACAAGAAGAAATCCGCGAGCGAACCAGCAGAGCAGGTGCAACAGACTGAGTCCAGTCGAGTTAACACAACCGTATAAGATGAGAGGAGTGTGGCTACAAAGGGAAACAGTAGAGTGGTGGAGGGTCTGGTGGAATAGCTATGTACTTCACGTCATATACTACATATGTGCTTAAATAATCATACTCTGAGTGGGATCTAAACCCTGAATGGCAACAGCAAATGCGAAGATTTGAAGCTGGTGTGCACGACATTAGCTGGCTTTGTGCAATCATGACGCATAGTGTGTGCGCACACTGCACTGCGCAGTGCACACGTGATCCAGGTTGCGAGTCTCACACAACTGGCGGCACGCAGCCTGCCCTGTGAGCCATCCCGCAGGAATGCCGCTGCAGGTGTCAACGAGTGGGACTTTTTGTCGCTAATCCTTCGGCATGTGTCTGGATATGGTGGAGACATTATTTTTACACCCTCAGCTTCGTCCCTGCCTTCCGCTTCCTCATTTCAGCGCGACACAACCAAGGTCAAACAGCGGCGCCTATCTGTATAGGTTGTTCATCCCAGCGCAACTCGTCTCATCTGCGGCATCTGCTGGTCTCGCAGCGGCCACTGCGATTGTCAGTCTTCTGGAATGTGACAGCGTGCAGCCTCGTAGGTCATAACCTTTGTTTCGGAGGAACGTCGTACTTCCATCCTCAGGGTGCCAGACAACCCTCGTTTCGATGGAACGTGTTGTCACCATCTTCAGGGTAGAAGAACTGTGAAGAGTAAGAACGAAGGCATCTTGATGAAGATTACTGTCTTCTGAGATGTGACGCCATGAAGTCTGGTAGAGCGTTATCAACGTTTCCCAGTAAAACTCGGCGCTAAGAACAGGCCGGAAGAGTACCCCAAATTACGTCACGACATCTTCCTCCCACAAACTTTCAAATTCACCGCTCGCTTGTCATTCCGCCATTCCACACTACACAATTCGATCCGTTGACAGAGCCGAGAAGCAAACCAGAACTTGTAGAGTCGTTTGGGGCTATCTGTTGGAACCGCTAACTTAAGGCCATTGGGTTCTTGAGCACCAGCAGAATTCCAGAATAATGGGAACCCTATAAAGATTTGGATGGTTCTGATTCACAGGTGGATTGTGATGTCACTTAGTTCGGGATTTTTGGACGGGCGCGTTGGGCGGGTTATAACATACCCAGGAGTTGCTTCTTCACGCTGCTCCACCGCAGGAACAGAAAGTGTTGGCTGCCTCGATCATGTCCGAACTCAGTCATTGAAATATGCAGAGTGTCTGCAGCCATTCAGCCCCGAGAGAAGCGCCTGTCCTCAATTCCAAAATGGTGAACCAAACTGGCCCCCTTTCAGGTTCTAATTAACTGATCCAAATCATCTATAAGGAAACAGGATTATGTATCCTCAGATTACAAACACAACCGAGTGACTTTTAGCTTAGGAAATCTCAACTGCCGGCTAACATCTCGGCTATTTAAATTTAGAAGTGGTGTCGGTCCAGGCACGCCCCTCAAAAAATTATGGCTTCTGCTAACGTCAAAGGGAAATGGACCGTGTACCAAGTATCTTATTTTCAATTTTCTCGGTGGCTTTCTTGTCTTACAGCTGCATGCACGACTTGATCTAAGCCTCCTTAAGTAGTAAAATCTAACTTCCTCATATAAATTACTATCTGGCCTATTATGTTAGATAATCGTAAAGGAAGTGTTAATTCAAATCAAATCAAAATAATATAAGGTAATTAAAATCCAACAACCAAATTTTGACTGCTACAGAAAAGCTACTGAAAGTTTTATCTGTGAAAAAATCGCTGCAGAATTTGCAGAATTTTAATTACCTTATATTATTTTGATTTGAATTAACGGAATTGAATATTCCTCTGCAACAGGCTTTCTGCGCTCACCAATGACGGGGCCTTAGCGATGATGGGAAGAGGAATGAATTCATTTCTCTCTGCAAGAAGGATTAGTCTTTTCGGAAAATTGTATCTCATTGTGTGATCAACAAGGAAGATTTGTGTCTTACAGTACTTCAGTTTGGACACCTTGTGAATGCTTTTACAGTAATACTTAATTCATAATTCTCTCTTCTGTGATATGATGCGTTATTATAAGTTAAAATACAAGCGACTACACCGCTTTGTGTCCCATCTGTTCATAATTCCCTTGTGAGAACCTGAGATCCTACAATAATTTACTCCATTCCCGAAGTTCCTTCGCAACATTGACTTTTTAAGGCCTTGCAGGAAGGTTTTGAAGGCAAACAATCTAATCTTATATTGCACGTGAACGTAAAATTGCTGATCAGACGCAACGTTCTTGCACGGTTTTTAAGCCTGTCTGAGGAGAGTAAAGGTTTTCTGAACATAAAAATAAAAGATCACACCACTAAGTGATTCCTGCTGGCTAGTAGACTTCAATTTCCCTGCCGATATAGCTGGCTGACAAAATGAACAGTTCATACCTCGAACTTCAGGGAATAGACAAGCATTAGTTCAAGCGACAGACCCTGTAAAATCATTGACAGCAAGACTATTACTGTGGATGTCACATATGAAGACGAAACTTCTCGTACACTTTCCAAGTGTGAAGAAAATGGCAGTTGAGAATCATTTCAGTTGGTTACCATCTGTTGGCCACTCCTGGAGAAATATGAAAAGAGATTTACATACGTCACCATCACTGCGCCAGGGGTAGCCTTACTTACAGTCCCTTATACTTACATAGCACCCGCTGCATCAATTGGAAGATGCATTCAGTCAGGCAGAAGAAATGTGACTCGAGATTTCGGTCCTTGAAAACTGAGCTGTTCCAAAACCCTGCGCAACACAGGAAAGCTTCTGGAATCATGCTGACCAAGAGGAGTTTCGTTTCTAAAAATGAAAAATGCAGTGTTTCAGTTCCAGTTTCCTGGCGCGAGTTATTGTCTTCGGCTACGAACAGTATGACATGAAGGAACTGATCGGGACTTCCTGATAGCCATCTGCTCTCTGCCACTACCCAGCTACAGTTTCCAGTATCTGCTCTCTGCCACTACCCAGGTATAGTTTCCAGTATCTGCTCTCTGTCACTACCCAGGTATAGTTTCCAGTATCCGCTCTCTGCCACTACCCAGGTATAGTTTGCAGTATCCGCTCTCTGCCACTACCCAGGTATAGTTTCCAGTATCCGCTCTCTGCCACTACCCAGGTATAGTTTCCAGTATCTGCTCTCTGCCACTACCCAGGTATAGTTTCCAGTATCTGCTCTCTGCCACTACCCAGGTATAGTTTCCAGTATCTGCTCTTGTGCAAGTACTTGTTACTGTTTACAATTTATGTGGAAGTTCGTGGCTACTTTTCGCCATACTTGTCAGAGCTGCTATTTGCCATTTCTGTTAGCTTGTATGCGCCTGCAACCTGAGCCCAGACTGGTCCTTCGGTGCCTAATTATAATGGCATATAGTATACTACAATTTCAAGCCCACACAATTTTATAATGCCACTTGATTTTTCGTGGAAATCATACGTAAACAATCGGCCGTCGTATATGGAGGATTAGCATTAGCATTCCGGGTTCGCATACGAGCTGAAGTCAAAACTATGTTTGTATGTATGTATGTATGTATGTTCGTTTCCTCCAGATAAGTGCTCAACATTGGCTACAACAGCCACTTTCCAACTCACGAGTCCTCTACAGGACATTATGCTGTGAGGCTGGGTACAATCGAGACGGGACAATGACTCATCAGTAGTATAGTATAGTATAGTATGTATATATGTGTACATGTTGAACTCGTACCAGTCCTTGGGCCGTTCGTTGGAATTTAGTATCTAATTTGTATATGTTATGACCATGTTGCAAATTTCTTAACACCCTCTCAGCGCGTAAGAAACCACGACCACTCAAATGACAGTTGAAGGAGTACGTTACAACATGCACTGACAAGTTAGAACCGGTACTTGATAGTCGCAATTGCGGCCGTTCCATAAGTTTTCAACTCACACATCTCCTGCCTGCCTGGCAGAATTACTTCGCGAGCAGTAATTGCAATGCATTGTACTTCCGAGCCTGGAACGCAGGACATATGAGGAAGTCCCTCGTGCAGAGGACGTGCTTAAACTAAAACTGAAACCAACACGCTTCAAAGCAACGCCACATTTTTATCCTTGACGTCTGGTACAGCATGAATCCTATTGTCGATCCGAACATTCATAAGACGCACACCATCTGAAACTTCACACTCCTGACTCCACTCATCTCTGGCCACATTCGGTTGTCTGACAACTCCAGGACTGTTCTAAACTGTTTTTATGCAACTTTCCTCGTCAAGGAGGATGGTCACTGGAAGCAAATACAGGAATTCAGCACAGATTGCCATACCATACCGAACACCCGTAAACTTTCAGCAAAACTCAGAACAGCAGAAGCCTTTCTCCACCATCACTACCGCAACTGCTACAGTACATCAACCCTCTAACATCACCCTCCGGTGGTTTTTCCATCAAACAACCGAATGGCCTATTGACCGTCCTCCCCACACCCAAGAAGTTCTTTCTGTTAAACTCACACGAACACGCAACAGTCTGTGAGGAATGCCAGTGGCAAATGGGTAAACCCAGTTTGGGGGGGGGCACTCTATCACCACCCTATCCTACGTAGAGACGGAGATGTCGCTTTATGACAGAATCGTCCCCGTCACAACAGCTGCGCAGACGGAGTGCACTAGACATAGATGACTGCCCTTGGTGCCCAGGAACCACAAGAACCGTAGATCACATGCTCTTTCACTGTCCCTCAGTCACAGCCTTCTGGAACCGTTTCGCCATGATACTCGACGAACTACTAGGCCCTCACCCACTGCAGAAGAAACGTATACTGCACGGCTATTCGACCCTGGATACCGCGCCGCAACAACTCGCCGACTATGAGTACCTGGCAACCATCAGCACGCACCAGACTACCAGCATGAGGCTGCAATACCGGCTGAGCAGAGAAATGCACTGCAGCCTGTGGACACTGAAACGGATGCCTTCAGAGGCTGCTGCGTGCACAGGGACAGCCTAGGGAAGCTAGAGACTGCCGTGCACTCTATCTGGCTGTCTGTCAGATGCAGTACGCAGGCCTTACACTTTATAGCAGTTTCTAGGTTTTATTGTAAAATTTACTCGTAGTTTCGCCAACTAACTAACTAACTAACTAACTAACTAACTGACTTCATGGATCTGAGTTCTTGACAAGCCGCCAATTGTGCAGCTACTCAAGAATTTCCCAGTATTTTATCGAATCCGAATTTTCATTACCGTGCTCACAAAAGCCCTCAACTGGTTCCTATTCTGAGCTAGATCGATCCAGTCAATTCCACCCCATCCTAGCCCTCTGGGATCCATTTTAATATTGTTCACCCACCAACGTCTTGGTCTTCCTAGTGGTCTCTTTCCTTCTGGCTCTCCCACCAACATCATATATATGAATTCCTCTTCTACCCAATTCCTGCTACATTCCGTGCCTATCTCTTTAGGTCAATGTTTGTTACTGAATATCTAACAACAAATTCTTGCATTCGGTAAAGCCGGTTTCACGACAACTGACATTTCGCGTGTGAATCTCTAGTGCATGCATACATACATAGCATGTAGCAGATACATACATGTACATATACACAGCCTGACAGATGGCATAACCGAAAACACTTTTTTTTTTTAATCCGAGGAATGGAATGCAGTAATCACTCAAAATCTCAAGATCAATTTTCTTCAGCGATCGCAATATTTTCTCGCATATATTAAGAATATGAGAAATTACAAGGCACTTGTAAATTGCTTCTACGGAGAAGCATTCCTTATGCGGATGTTGGCAAGAATTGCTGGACATTGTTACACCGTCACGCCCATTGCAGCTGACGGAATGCCAATTGTAGTAGCCACACAATAGTGTGCAGTCAGTCAGCCCTACAGAACTTTACAATTCCAGGGAAGCCTTTATTGTTCCAACATCCTTTCGACCGTACCTTCGCATCTCCTGTGCTATCTACACTAGAATTCAGACATGACGACGGACAGGTGAGAGACAGAGTTGCAACTGATATGTTGCGATAGCGTCCGCTTGAATATTTACTGTCCGAACTGCGCAAGCTCAGCCGCGCGTTCCCGCTACGTGACATCTTGCTAACCTGTTGCCTGCCTCTTGCACTGAACAGTCAGCTCATTTGTCTGTGCAAACCCCCAGTTATTTATTTTTGGGCCTTTCGGTTTTAAACGTAGGTTAGAGCGACAATGACATGAAACAACCTCCTGGAACACTTCGCATCCGACGTACAAACTACATACAAGGACGGCCATTTTGTTTTCTTTTTAATTTTTTCATCTCCAACTTAAACTTCTTTCGCTTCTTCTTTTCTCCAGCTTCCTTCTTCTAATCGCCCTTTTCATTTCCTTTCCTTTCTTTCATCTTCTTATCTTACACTTCTCTCCTTATTCCTTCTTTTCACTTTAATCCTCTTTCTTCCTCGCCTTTTCTGTCTTTCTCCTTTTTGTTTTTGTTTTTTTTTCATCTGAACTTTTCCCATCTCTTCATTCTCCCCCTCCATCTTCCCTTCTTCTTTGCTTTTCTTGCACTTCTTTCCCCTTCCTTTTGCTTTTCCGTTCTTCGTCCAACATGTTCTCCATTTTCTCCCTCTCTCTTGACCTTCACAATTACGCATTCAGGATTTAAAGGGTTAACGCACACACTCACACATTTGTATGTACAGGCATACATATACAGATACAGCAGCCGTGACAGAAAGCGGAAGTCTGATAAACCATTTCATTTATTCCGCCAAGTGACACTCCATGTTACTGCGCAGTAGCCACCCGTCCGCGCAGTCGCGTTTGAATCTTACAGTAGCTGCGTCCTTCGTACATGAGAATTTTGTGAGTTGCAGATATTACATGGTCATCAGCTTCAAGGATTAAGCCCAAAGGTCTGTCCCTTCATACTCAGAATCTACTCTTGCCAGTCCGTGTCTCTCTTTCATTCATTCATCCTAACACTCTCCAGTATAATCTAGAATGTGATTTGCGATTCTTAAAAAATTTGACTCCCTGGTCTGGTAGAAGTGTACAGATGTTTCGTAGTTCTGTAGATTTCTACCGTCAAGATGGAGACAGCACGTTCCTTCGAAATGTCTTTAAAAATAATCAGATTTTACGATGGCCTAACATCACGGAAAGGGGTTACATTCATGTTGTTCTACCATTCAAAGTATTCACACCATTCATTTTATAATCTCTCATTCTCTCTGTAATAGTCCTTTACTAACCTGTTATTCCGTTTTAAAATATTTTAATATCGCTGTGTGATTTCTGCATCTGGCCTTCGAAATCGCATTTGAGCATCTTCAGATCTCCATGCGCGTGACAGCTTCAGAACTTTCCACAGCATTACGGAGCAGACATGAGCCCACATCTCTGCTCACTTCTCAAGCCATTGCCTCCCATACACGGGTGAGCATCTCCTTGTGCCTCGTTCAGTGTGGCACACTGCATAACCTGCTCCCTGGAGCGATCGGCTGTAATTTCGTGATTCTCGAAGAAAATGGCGAATTACAAATGGTGGAATGTCGTATTCTTTCGATAATGGAATGGAATATCAGGCCTCGATATGCGTAAGGTTCTTTCGCAGTAGGCCGTGCCATAGATCAAGCGGTTAGTCGCTGGCTTCCCACCGCGACCACTCGGGTTCGAACCCGGGTCAGGTCATATGGGATTTATGATGGACGAAGTGGCACTGGGGCAGGTTCTTTCCGAGTACTTCGGTTTCCCCTGCCAATTCTCATTCCACTAATTTCTCTATAATC